GACATGTCCCCATGAACAACTATCAAGGGTGCTCTAGAACAAGGGCTGATAAACCTTTTCTTAAGGCATTAGACAGTAAATACTTTGGGCTTGCAGATCATAAGGTCATAATACTGCCATTGTAGCAAGAAAGCAGTTATAAACTATGTAAATAGACTGTGCATTTATTTACTTATTTATTTTAAACTTTATTTACAGAACAGATGACTGGCCCCTGGGCCATGGTTTGCCAATCCCTGCCTTAGAAGGTATATTTCTCCACAAGCTCTGAAGGATGAACTTCCGTAAGTTCCACCAGTGGGGCACCAGTGCCTTCTTTGCCATTAAGTGAGATGTGATCATACTTTTTATAACTGCCAGTCGTATCTATATTCTTTAGAGTTTTTACTCCAATCCCCCTGATATAGTAATTCTACTAAACTTTCCTTGTTTAAATGTTTAAAAACAGTTCTTTCCTTCTTTTACACTATGTGACATCTGTCTCCTAATTGGACCCTGATCTCGCTCTTTACCCTGCTTTATTTTCTTTATGGTACTAACCACTAACTGAAATTATATTATCTGTGTTTGCTTACTTTTTAATTACCAGTGTCCTCCTCTAGAATATAAGCTCTATGAAGCCACTCTGTTCACTACTGAATGAATTCCTAGTACCTAGGACACAACATATTCATGATAAATACCTGTGAGTGATCAAATAAATGAACTGTTGGCCACAGTGGACCAAAATATCTTTTTAGAAGTTCAACTCTTGAATTATATCAAATGAAATGATGAATGCCCCTTGCTTATATCTGCACGTGCTCTCCCTCTCATACAACCCCCATTCACTCATATTCTGTGTCTCTGCTTATAGTATTCCTTCAGTCTCCACTCTAAAATTAGTAGATAACCTCTGAGTGCAAAAATTCCACCTTACTGCCATTTAAACCTGTGAGGCTCAAGCAATACAATACAGAACTCTCCCAACACATTCCACAAGGAGCAGAAAGCCACTACTGAGTGAGGTGGGAGAGATGGGTAGTTTCTTTTTAGGTTTTACCCATAAAGGTTGGCAAGCTTCCAAATAGTAACAGTTGTTACTGCTTGAACTGGTAGTAAGTTAAAAACATCCAAAATAATCTTACTAATAATTTTTCAGTCCCATTACTTTAAAACATTTTTCATAACAGAAATTTGTAACTTTTTTTAAAACAGTCCATAACTTCTTAATGTTCACCAATCATTCCTTCTGAGTCTCTCATTCTCTCTTATGTATACAAATAAAAAATACTAGTCGTCAATGAATCTTTCAACATTTCTGTAGGCTCATCTAAGGTGGATTTTACTCCTATTCTGCCACAGTTGTGGCTTGTTTTTACTTGAGAATAGTGTAATAATGCAATGGTTGCTGAGAAGTTCAAAATGATACCCAAATACCAAGTTCTGGATGCTCAAATTCATCCAGAATAGCTAGAAAGCACTAGACCAATACTGGTTTTGCTCCATTTCCTTCTTATTTCCTGATTTGTCTCTGCTGATTTCAGAGGGATGGAGAAATAGAAAATGTCAAAGGGCATAAAAAGGTGGACCAGATAGGTATGAGGTCTTTTTTTTTTTTTTTAAGATTTTATATATTTATTTGTCCGAGAGAGAGAGAACATGGGCAGCGGGAGCGGCCGGCAGAGGGAGAAGCAGGCTCCCCGCTGAGCAAGGAGCCTGATGTGAGACTCAATCCCAGGACCCTGGGATCATGACCTGAGCCAAAGGCAGCTGCTTAACCGACTGAACCACCCAGGCATCCCCCTTTTTTTTTTAAGTAGGCCCCACGCCCAGGATGGAGTTCAGTGTGCAGCTTGAACTCACAACCCTAAGATGAAGACCTGAACTGAGATCAAGAGTTGGATGCTTAACCGACTGAGCCACCCAGGCAGCCAGTATGAGGTCTTTAGTGGAAATCATTTCTTGGTCTTCTCAAACAATCTGAAGAACAGAGACAAAGGTAATAACACTAACAAAACAATGACCTCCAGTTCTTTCCTGCTTTTGTAACTACTTAACTTCAACATACACTATCAAATTTCAGTTAACAGTAAAGGCTGTTCCTCACTATCAATGGCAAGAACTTCCAACTTCCACAACCTCTTGTTCCTGAATATCAGGTTTCTGCAGTTGCTTCCAAGTTAAACTGGTACCTTCTGTTTAGGACTCAGTTACACTTAAAACAGCTTTAGGTAGTCCAACAGTATTATCTCTGTCCCTGATTCTGGCAATTGACTGCCTACCAGAGGCAAAGTAGCTATAGGAAATGTAAAAACAAAAAAGAAAGAAAAAGAAACTTTTCAGGGGAGAATACGGGAAAAAAATAAAATATGTACAAATGTTTTAAAGACACTCTGGATCTAAAGACATTTCTGTTGTTTGAATCAATAACATATTTAGAATAATTTTGATTGCTCAGAATATTACATTTCTATAATCATGAGAATGGGGGTGTTATTTCATTTTTCTTCATTTTTGTCATACTACAAGTTTCAAGAAAAGCTAGTCATATAAGTAAGTCTTCAGGAATATTAAGCCAAGCTTTTCAAACTGCAGTTGGTTTTTTCCCCTTACCCTACACTCAAGCTAGAGGAGTAAATTATTTTCCACAAGTGAAAAAAAAAATTGCATAAAAGATTGCCTGGTTTCCAAAACATCTGCTGCTTCTAAAAGGTCTTAATATGATTTTCACTCAGATAGTATAAATGCTAAATTACCTCGACAGAAATTCAGCAAAATCTATTTGAAGGAAACCAGAAACAACCATAAATAGCAACTTCTAAAAGATGACAGTAACTTGCTTTGTTTTTTCCATTTAACATCATTGTTTAATATTTAGTTTTACCTTTCATTTCATTGTTAACACTGCTTTTGGAAAAATCTGTGGGAAATAGAGACAGACTTCCTAAGCAACCAAGCTAAGCCCTAGACAACATTAATCCAGAATTGTTCACAGACTTGCAAAAGGGTAACATTTTGATATAACACTAAATATTGTACCATCCTTTATTAAGTGAAGTGCTGATGACGGAAGACTGATCTGGGAGGTCTGAAATTTACGTTAACATGAGTCCCACCTCCAATAATGGCTAGCTTTGTAATTATGGATAAGAAATCTAACCTAAGCCTCAAATCCTCATCTATACAATGATGAGGCTAAAGTGGATTATCTCTAAGATTCTTTTCAGGCATAATTCTTTATCATTCCCACCATTTCCATTACATATTCTAAGGATTTCATTGATTCATCAGACATTTATTAAATACCTACTGTGTCCTTGGCACAGGCATGGTATCTGCCCTCAATGAAGTTATATTTCAACTGTCCCATTATGTAGTAGAAAATGAGTAAAACATAAGCTTAGACTTAATAATAGGATAAAAAAGAATTATTTTTAAATGGCCATACAAGCCAAAAAGGTATGATAAAATCAGCTTGGGTGGGGGAGAGACTCTCAGTCCAATCTCTAATATGAATACAAGGCTGAGTAACAGCAGACTGTGCTGATCCATCCCTGTCAACTTTTAATCCTTCTGACTGATGAAAAGCATGAGACATCTGTTTATTTTTAAGTGTATGCTGGCGGCTGGCTTATTTTCACTTTTCTTTGTACAACTGTACAGAATTCATCAAACGCTTAATACACACCATCCAGCTGATGATACTGACCTTCAAGAAAATTAAGTCCTAGGAGGGGTATAAAAAAATGAACAAATGACAGTAATATGAGAAAGAATATGGTGTTACAGTTGCCGAAAACTTCATGTACTCAATACAGTGCTCCCTCTTAAGATAAAAGTAAGTAAAACTGAGAGCTCCTACAATAGGAAAGGAAACGAAAAGAAAGGGAGAAAGAGAGGAGGTAACATTTACTCAGCACTTAACAGGTGCCAGGCACTGTGAGGGTAGTTTTCACTTACTCTTCTCCAGCCCTCTAAACAAGAAAATATGCCAAACAGATGATCATCTACAGTAAGAAAAATCCACCCCACTTCACAAAATGATTCCAACAGCCTGAGAGTGCATTTGAATGCAAATGCACTGTTTATGTAATAATCATTCTGCTTAGAATCTTAGTATTTGGAACTAGAGGAGTCTTGGATCACCCAGGCAACCCATTCATCTTAAGGACGATGAAACTCAGGGGAGACAAGATAAGGAGCTTGACTGAAGTCATCCCTGTTTAGTGGCAGAGTTGGGATCAAACCAATAATCAAGGCATCATATACCACTCTCCCAGCAACTGTTTAGTGAAATTTAGTGACTCATTTTAGCTTCTAAGTTACTGAACACCTATTAGAGCACTTTTATTAAAATAATCATAAAAATCCGTTTCTACAAATGGCTCAGCATTTCCAAAGAATGATGTACCATATTCTACATAAAATTTCGAAACCTATTGATAACCAGTAACCTGCGTTTACTGCGTTTGAACATTTGCCTATATTCCTGACTGCTCTCCTCATAAAGATTCAGGTGCAAAGCGGAGTGTATTTTTTAGAGAGAATCAGGTCGCTTAGGTAAAGGTTTCCCAGACAAACCCCCGCGCCCAGGGCTGCCTATGCACTCAGCGATTCGTAAGCCGCGAGCCCGGAGGGAGGACGAAGAATGAGTGTGCAGTAACGTGGCTCCCCGTGCCCTCGGCTCGTCGGCCGCCTTCGTCCTGCCGGGCCGGTTCCGAACGCCGACGGGGCCGGACCGTTACGGGGCCTCCCGGGCCGCGGGGCCCGGTGCGGACCGCCCCTCCCCCACCGCGGCCTGAGCCAGCGGCGCTGGCCGGGACCCCCGCGGCTCCCCGCGCGAACAATACAAGGAGTCCCTAGCGAGCCTGAACGCCGGGGCCCGCGCCACCCCGCCACCCCGCGCCGCGGGCCTCGCAGAAGGCATCAAGTCGCAGGCCGCGAGAGACAACCCCACGGGAGGGAGAGAGAAGGCGGTTAGTCAGGGGGTTCGGAGGCCGCCGTGCCCTCACCCGTACCTGACTCCAGGTGATGAACTCGTTAGTGTGGGTTTCCTCCACAAGCGTCCACAGCTTGCTGAGGAAAGCCGGCACGTTCGAACTCTGCTTCATTGTTAACGAGACGCAGGGATTCCAAATTCTACACCCGAACACGGCGGCGGCGGTAGCAGCGGCGCTGGTGGCGGCGGCGGCGGCGGCGGCGGCGGCAGCTGCTGCTCCGGGAGAACGCCCACAACGCAGGCGCAGCAGCAATCGGGCCCCGCCCCCCCAGGCTCGCCGAGCGCGCAGCGAGGCGGGGTGGACCGGCGGCCGCACATGATGGACAAGTCTCGGCGTTCGGCCCGTGCGCGCTCGTCCCGCGCTGGTTCCGTTTCCGACCAATCCCAGGCGCGGACCGCACGACAAAGAGAAGCGATAGGATGCTGCGACGAGGTGGGGGTGGGAGCAAAGGGGGCGCTGCCTTCTCATTCGCCTTTTATACAGGAGCCGTCACTGTAGCGGACCTTAGGCTTAGTGGACTGTGTTTGGTTGTTTCACGTGGAAACGGCTTTGGGTTTCTGAGCTGTGGCTGGGAGGCTACAGAAAGTCCTCAGGGGTATTTCAGCCATCAGTTTGGAAGGCAAAGTGTGGTTTGGGCCAGTCAGGAGGAAGTATAATAATTCACATGGAGGGTGGGAGGAGGGTAGGGAAGCAGCTTTCAAACATGATGCTAGGCCCCAATTTGAAACTGTCTTAAAAATAGTAAACCCTGCCCTTAAATTTTCATTAGGAGAAAATGGTTCCATTAAAATACGTTTATCAAAAAGAGGAATTTAAATATTAACTCACTCTTAATTAAGTATGTACTACAGTGAACCAGGAACGGCAATAGGCACCTTACACGCTGTTTTTAATTCAACAGTGAACGCCAGCCGTATGCCTAGCATAAAAAGACATAGTTTCACTTGCACTCTTTTAATAAATTAAAAAAATTATTTGTGCATATACTTAACAAGTATATTCTTGTTTCCCAGAGATTGTCTGATATAGTGGGGGGAAAAAATTGGACAAGGAGTCAGCATATCTGAATTTAAACCCAGCTTCAAGGACACTTCAGTGGATATTAAATTACACTGGTTCTGTGTAATTTAGAGTAATCCCTTATTCTGTCTGTGTAATCCCTTCCCTATTTCCTCATTGGGAATAAGACTATCCCTCTTTTTACCCATATAAGATAATATTAATAGGTGTAACAATATAAAATATTGTACAAAATTAAACTTTTATTTTTTGCAAAAGTCAGCATGTGAATGCAAGAATTTACAAAGAAGTCAGAGATAACATTTTATACAAAATTCACCACAGGATTGGTTTATTTCCTGGGTGCATGTAAAATAATAAATAAAAAAATTAAATACAGGCAATTTCCAGTGAGCAAATATTTATCGAATAGTGACTTCGTGTTCAGCCCTCATCTGCTTGCTGAAGCAAAATCAGATATATGGCAGGATACATCCAATATATCTGCATTGAAGAACTAATATTTGAGAGCACTTATATATGTCTAGGGTTTTATATATATTATCTCTCCTAATTCTCACAACAACCCAGCAAAGCTGATCTTATCATCCCATTTTTCCAGTGAAGATTCTGAGGCCCAAAAGTGAATTAATTTACCTGTAATGCAGCTAGTAAATGAGAGAGGGAATTTACACCCAGGGTTTATTAAGTTCAAAAGCCTGTGCTCTTTCCACTGCGTTATGATGACACCACCTCAATGTTTAAGATGTTTATATTCTAACTCGAGAAACAAGATAAACACAATGACCAGCAATTATTAATTTTTTTAGAAAAAGCTAAATTGACGCATTAAAAATACTAGGAAAGTTTAGAAAGGGTTAAGTAAATTAAGGTAGTAAGAGAAGACGTCTTGGAGGATGGTGACCTTAAGTTGGGTCTTGAAGTACAGTTGCATTGGGATAGCTGAAAGGAAGACAACAGTGAGCAGAAATGGGAGGCTAATGAGCATGATCTGTCTATGGAGGGTAACAGCTCAGAAGGTAAGATTGGTAGTGTCTGAGGGGAAAATATGGCCTACTTTCATGGCATTGTATTATTTCCATCTGAAAAAAAAAAAAAGATGTGTTTAGATACAAGGAGAAACTACTCTTTGGGCATTGGACCTGTGCAGTTGTAGGCTCTTGAGTTAGTAGGGCTCTGTACCTCAAATGCTTGGTTTAACTGCTCTTCTGTCACTGTCTTGAAATTCTTCATTTTTTAACAAGGCACCCTGCATTTTAATTCTGCATTGAGCACTACAAGTTCTGTAGCTGGTCTGCTTTCAATATATTGCATCTCATAGACCAATGGTTCTCAAACTTAAACATGCATCCAAGTCACTTGGAGGGGGGACACTGTCAGTATAAAAGATAAACAAGTATCATGTAGATAGTATTTATCCACTCATGAAGCCAGCTAAGGGGATAAGTTATTAACCAGGAAACCCGGTGATGTGACGAGGAAATAGATGGTGTGTCTAAAATCACATGGCTTTGGAATTGAAACCATGTTTTTTGTACTCTGAAACATACATTTTTTTCCCTTATACCAGTGTGCCTCAAACTTTAGCCTATGTCAGAATTGCCGGGAGGGCTTCTGAAAAAACAGATTTCTGCTTTTCTTCCCACTGCACTCAGTAGGTCTGGGGTTCAGGCTAAGAATATGTATTTCTCACAAGTTCCCAGATGATGCAGATACTGCTGACCCTGAGAACCACCGTTCTAGAGAAAAAATTAGTAAACTGACCTTCCTTTGCTAACGTGTACAGACTTGTTACTCACCCTTCACCTCTTAACACAATCCAGATGTTCCAGAATAATTTAAACTACTGTGTTTTCTTTTGCATGAACTTAATTCTTAATATTTATTGTAATTATTAAACTTTTTGAAAACTTTAAGTACTGACTAGAGACATTTTGGGGGGAAGAGAAAATTATTATTGACCCATTTGCACTTGTATGGCGGTCAGTTATAAAACTGAGAAGGGAGGAAAACCAAATCAAACTAATTCACAGTTATTTGCCACCTACAAATCCCATGAATATAGGAAGAAACAGATTTGACCCAGTGCCCACAATTTTGAAATGTTTACAATATTAGAGGATAAAAATGTCACTTTCTTAAAGTGAATTACCTCCTGTTGACTCCAAATTTTAAAAGTTAAAACATTTCCATGGCTCATTTCCAGCCTGAGTGTAAGATTTAGAAGATCTAGAATAACATTAGAAAATATGAGTGACCTAGGCTTTTACTTAGGAAACAGAAAAGCATATTGTGGAACACTTTGATGCTTCAAAGCCTCTGATTCAGATTGTACAAATTCTATCTGATCAATTATGCAAAACTAGTTGGAATCAGCAGTACAAGCAGAACACTAACTTTTAAAGATTATTTTCAGAATAGCCTGATAGAAACCAAAGGTGAACTGCACAGAGGTTTTCATCTACGTCCTATCTGGACAAAGTGTTGAGTTTCTTCAATTTTGGAATGACCCAGGCGTCCTTAGGCAAAATTACTAGAAACCTCCAAGTCCTAGAGGCTTATACATAAAATGTGAGTTAAAATACCTGTTATACACCTTCACAGAGTGGTTTTGAGGATCAGATAAATTACTTCTTCCTCCAGCCCGCCTCATAATCTTGAGATATATTTCTGAAGCAAAAATCTGAAAAGGTTACTTCCTGACTTAAAAACAGTCAGTAGCTTCCCATAAATTTCAAAATAAATTCAAACTCCTTAAGATGGCATAAAAGACCTTTTATGCTCTGATGGCACCTATCATTCCAGTCATTGGCTACCACTCTTCACCTTACTCCTACACTTCGCCACACCCAACTGCTTGATACCCTACTGGTCATGTTCTTTCACACTTCTACATATTTCCACAAGCTGTCGCTTCTGTGTGGAAGCAACTTTTTCTACCCCATTATACCTCACATTTCTCCTTAACCTTCAAGGTCAAGTACAATTCCATACAGAAGTCATCTCTTTTATGAAACTTCCTGGAGACCTTTATTATAGCACTTATTACATCATATCGTAATTATTTACATGTATTTTTTCACACTAGACAATGAAACTTCAACATAAAGACTATGTCCTATTTATATTTATTTTCATCTGCAATGGCTATCACAGTGTCTCAATAAATATTTGTTGAATTAATCAATGAATACATGAACAGATGAGTGTTAAGACCATTTAGTTTTCCATGGTTCCCAAATTTGGGATTAGTTGCTCCTCTCATATGCTTCCATAGCATATGGAGCTTGGCCCTCATGGTTATACCACACTGCTGTTGCTCATTTACTTCTGAGCAGCTCTCACTGGCCTGGAAGATTGTGCTTACAATGTTCACTGTTGTATCCTTAGCAGCAAACATAGTCCTAATAATATAGGAACTGTTCAATAAATATTTGCTAAGTGAGTAATTTTAGCTTTTGAAACCCTTTGGATAGAATGTACTCTACCTAATAGTAAGGAGACTCCTTAAAACTTATTAGGTCTCAGTCCGTGTGAACTTTTTAGTTGTTAAGAGAAGAAAATGAAGAGAAGGACAACTTAAGGATAGCTCAACTGAGAGGCATGTGATTGAGGAGCTATTAGTGGAGCAAATATCAGAATCCTGAAAATGCCAGACATTAATGGAATGTTATAGTCCCAGGCTTGAGGTTATTTGTCTTTGAAACAAACAACACTTTGGTAACAATGGCAAAATGCTTAAAGACCATATAGTAGGCTTTTGAATAAGCAGAGAGCTAAAAAAAAAATTTGTGAAAGTTAATTTCTTAAAATTTTTAAGTAGATCAAAGAAGAAACTTCTTTTTTCGAAGGCTACAGCTTAGGTGCCCAGACCCTGACTGAAGAAGCCTTTTAAGTAGGATGTGTGTTAGTACCACTTGTAGCAGACTGGGGCTAGGACTGCTCTACATGAAACTTCCACTGTATGCCATATTTGCTAAAATCTGACCCATCACCCCACAAAGGTGGTAAGTCCAGGTTTGCACAGGACTTTCCACTTTTGTACTGAAAGTCCTAAGCCACAGGTACTCCCTCAGGCCCAGGCAAACCAGGATTGTTGGTCACACTAACTCTAGCCTCTTCCAGTTATTGACGTTGGACGGGAAGCAGGCTAAGCCAAATAACTTATATAGCAGCCAGTGCAGATGAATGATCTCAAATTTGAATGCAGTTCTTACTTAGCCTTTCTGGAAGCAGGGTGACAATACTATTTCACAGGTATCGCAACAGCTAGGTGGTAAATAGAAGGACTCAGGTATTCCG